CAACTCGTCTGGGCAGGGAAACACCTCGCCTGGGCTGGAAAGCACCTCGCTTGGGCAGGAAAGCACCTCGCCTGGGCAGGAAAGCACCTTGCCTGGGAAGGAAAGCACCCTGCCTGGGAAGGAAAGCACCTCGCCTGTGCAAGAAAGCACCTCGCCTGGGCAAGAAAGGACCTCGCCTGGGCAAGAAAGCACTTCGCCTGGGCAAGAAAGCACTTCACCTGGGCAGGAAAGCACCTCGCCTGGGCAGGAAAGCACCTCGCCTGGGAAGGAAAGCACCTCGCCAGGGCAGGAAAGCACCTCGCCTGGGCAGGAAAGCTCCTCACCTGGGCAGGAAAGCACTTCGTCTGGGCAGGGAAACACCTCGACTGGGCAAGAAAGCACCTCGCCTGGGCAGGAAAGCACCTCGCCTGGGCAGGGAAATTCCTCGCCTGGGCAGGAAAGCACCTGGCCTGGGCAGGAAAGCACCTCGCCTGGGCAGGAAAGCACCTTGCCAGGGCAAGAAATGACTTCGCCTGGGTAGGGAAAAACCTCGCCTGGGCAGGAAAGCACCTCGCCTGGGCAGGAAAGTACCTCGCCTGGGCAGGAAAGCACCTTGCCTGGGCAAGAAAGGCCTTCGTCTGGGTAGGGAAGCACCTCGCCTTGGCAGAAAAGCACCTCGCCTGGCCAGGAAAGCACCTCGCCTTGGAAGGAAAGCACCTCGCCTGGTCAAGAAAGTACCTTGCCTGGGCAGGAAAGTACTTTGCCTGGGCAGGGAAACAACTCGCCTGGGAAGGAAAGCACCTCTCCTGGGCAAGAAAGCACCTCGCCTGCGCAGGAAAGCACCTCGCCTGGGCAGGAAAGCACCCCGCCTGGGAAGGAAAGCACCTCGCCTGGGAAAGAAAGCACTTCGCCTGGGCAGGGAAACACCTCGCCTGGGCAGGAAAGCACCTCGCCTGTGCAAGAAAGCACCTCGCCTGGGCAAGAAAGGACCTCGCCTGGGAAGGAAAGCACCTCGCCTGGGCAAGAAAGCACTTCGCCTGGGCAAGAAAGCACTTCACCTGGGCAGGAAAGCACCTCGCCTGGGCAGGAAAGCACCTCGCCTGGGAAGGAAAGCACCTCGCCTGGGCAGGAAAGCACCTCGCCTGGGCAGGAAAGCTCCTCGCCTGGGCAGGAAAGCACTTCGCCTGGGCAGGAAAGCACCTCGCCTGGGCAGGAAAGCTCCTCGCCTGGGCAGGAAGGCACTTCGTCTGGGCAGGGAAACACGTCGCCTGGGCAAGAAAGCACCTCGCCTTGGCAGGAAAGCACCTCGCCTGGGCAGGGAAATACCTCGCCTGGGCAGGAAAGCACTTCGCCTGGGCAGGAAAGCACCTTGCCTGGGCAAGAAAGGACTTCGGCTGGGTAGGGAAATACCTCGCCTGGGCAGGAAAGCACCTCGCCTGGGCAGGAAAGCACCTCGCCTGGGCAGGAAAGCACCTTGCCTGGGCAAGAAAGGACTTCGCCTGGGTAGGGAAGCACCTCGCCTGGGCAGAAAAGCACCTCGCCTGGCCAGGAAAGCACCTCGCCTTGGAAGGAAAGCACCTCGCCTGGTCAAGAAAGTACCTTGCCTGGGCAGGAAAGTACTTCGCCTGGGCAGGGAAACACCTCGCCTGGGAAGGAAAGCACCTCTCCTGGGCAAGAAAGCACCTCGCCTAGGCAGGAAAGCACCTCGCCTGGGCAGGAAAGCACCCCGCCTGGGAAGGAAAGCACCTCGCCTGGGAAAGAAAGCACTTCGCCTGGGCAGGGAAACACCTCGCCTGGGCAGGAAAGCACCTCGCCTGGGCAAGAAAGCACCTCGCCTGGGCAGGGAAACACCTCGCCTGGGCAAGAAAGCAGTTCGCCTGGGCAGGGAAGCCCCTCCCCTGGGCAGGGAAACACCTCGCCTGGGCAAGAAAGCACCTTGCCTGGGCAGGGAAGCACCTCACCTGGACAAGAAAGCCCCTTGCCTGGGCAGGAAAGCACCTCGCCTTGGCAGGGAAGCACCTCGCCTGGGCAGGAAAGCACCTCGCCCGGGCAAGAAAGGACTTCGCCTGGGTAGGGAAACACCTCGATTGGGCTGGAAAGCACCTCGCCTGGGCAGGGAAGCACCTCGCCTGGGCAAGAAAGGACTTCGCCTGGGTAGCGAAACACCTCGCCTGGGCAGGAAAGCACCTTGCCTGGGCAGGAAAGCACCTTGGCTGGGCAAGAAAGGACTTCGCCTGGGTAGCGAAACACCTCGCCTCGGCAGGAAAGCACCTTGCCTGGGCAGGGAAGCACCTTGCCTGGGCAGGAAAGCACCTTGCCTGGGCAGGAAAGCACCTTGGCTGGGCAAGAAAGGACTTCGCCTGGGTAGCGAAACACCTCGCCTCGGCAGGAAAGCACCTTGCCTGGGCAGGGAAGCACCTTGCCTGGGCAGAAAAGCACCTCGCCTGTGGAGGGAAGCACCTCGCCTGGGCAGGAAACACCTCGCCTGGGCAGGGAAACACCTCGCCTGGGCAGGAAACACCTCGCCTGGGCAGGAAACACCTCGCCTGGGCAGGGAAACACCTCGCCTGGGCAGGAAACACCTCGCCTGGGCAGGAAACACCTCGCCTGGGCAGGGAAACACCTCGCCTGGGCAGGAAACACTTCGCCTGGGCAGGGAAACACCTCGCCTGGGCAGGAAACACCTCGCCTGGGCAGGGAAACACCTCGCCTGGGCAGGAAACACCTCGCCTGGGCAGGGAAACACTTCGCCTGGGCAGGGAAACACCTCGCCTGGGCAGGAAACACCTCGCCTGGGCAGGAAACACCTCGCCTGGGCAGGAAACACCTCGCCTGGGCAGGGAAACACTTCGCCTGGGCAGGAAACACCTCGCCTGGGCAGGAAACACCTCGCCTGGGCAGGAAACACCTCGCCTGGGCAGGAAACACCTCGCCTGGGCAGGAAACACCTCGCCTGGGCAGGAAACACCTCGCATTTCAACCAAACAACTGCTCCGCTTCTCGGAAGTGCTGCGATAATTTGTTATATGTTAACTGTTTGCTGCAAGATTCTAATTCCTGTGATAATAATTTAGGTTTGTTCATTGGGTGTTTACCTCATACAAAGAGGGCACTGCCATCCGCCTATATATTGAGTTTGCATTAGCACTAATGGGAATGTCATTTATGTATGTTAGGATATGTAGAGGGCGCGAGGTACTTCCTTGCCGAGCTGAAGTTAGTTGTTGGTAGGGGTTTCGATTCCGTGTTGGTGACCTTGATCATCTACAGAGGCTATGCCGATAATATGCTATAGTTCGCTTTATCAAATGTGTTTAGTAAGTCTAAGGACATAATAACAGTGAAATTCTTTTTTGGCATTTGTGTTATTTGAGCAAACAGGTTAACTAAGTAGGTATCCGTTAAGTGTCAGTAAGTGTCAGGATCGTCTAGGATGGGTGGAGGTCATTTGGACGACGGCTTTTAGCCAGTCTGTCAGGTAACACGAAGATCCGAAAATCAACCCGCCTTCGTGGGAGAAACACAGTAGAGAAAAGGTCAGAGGTATCAAAATTACCAGCAGGAACTCTGGTACCGGAGTCATACAACAAAGTATTTCCCAGGTCGATACCGGATTAATTTTAAGATTTTTACATAAAAACTGGGGAGAGAGTGCAGCTAAGAAGAGTAAGAAAAAAAAGCCATATTCTCCTACCTTCCTTCTGGATCCACGAGTAACCTAATTACGGCAGTTATGACGTTCCATTGAAACCACTCCCTTGTCTTACCTGGCGCCTGGATGTCATCGCCAGAATCAACAGAGCCAAGCTCAGCCAACAAGAAACACCAGGAGTTGCATCCCTTTGACCCCCACCTTCGAGAAGCGCAAAGCAGCGTCTAGGAATACGTACTTCATTCACAGAGGGACAAGTGAGGCCGCCCACCAGAGCCCCGGAGAGCGGCTCAGCATGTTCCCAGATAATCCAATACTCAGCTGAGATTCACGAGGTCTAAATATCCTCAAATAAAGAGGCCTAATGGAGAAAGGAGAAGAGCGGGGGTATTTACTGTAGATGCTAACCGAGGAAGACAAGAGGTATAATCCCTTGGATCAAGAGCCCCTTCCCCTTCAAGAAGCGCTACAACATCGTGCCTATTTGAAATTTTCTCAACAAATGGTCCCGTAATTTAATATTATCTAGTATCTTGCCAGTTATCCAGACTGAGGTTCTGGTTATAACCTGATATATTTCATTATTATATCCTCAAACTGTTACAGTTTTCCAGCTCAGGTAGGTTCCGTTACATAGTTCCTAGTTGGTCTAATTATTATCCTATTTGAGCTATCTGGTACAAAATACGATAAGATGGTCACAGGTTCTGTGGGAATGTCTAATTACTGATACTTTTTTCAAAGCAGTAACTATGTGGTCACGTGTGGTGGCTGAGAGCTGTATAATCAGATTTCTTTTATTAATTTAGCTAACTGTGATAATTTAATCCTGGGGATTTAATTTTACATAATCCACATAAGATTATGGAAGACGAGACACCACCAAGATAGTCTCGTTCCTGTAGTTACAAAAAGATAATTGCACACTTACACACACACAACACCTCCTCCCTCAACAACACATTCCCCACACGCCTCCCCCCACACACACTCACCCACGCACAGCACCTCCCCCTCCACACACTCACCCACACACAACACCTCCCTCCCCCACACACAACACCTCCCTCCCCCACACACAACACCTCGCTCCCCCACACACAATGTCCCCTCCCACATACACTCACCCCACACCTTACCACCCCACACCTTACCCCCCCCCGCACACTCACCCACACACTTCACCCCCTCACATACACATACCTCTCTCCCACTCACACCCACCCACCCATATCACCTTCCTCCCAGGCCAAAAAACAGCACCCCTCCCACACACACCACCCCTCCTACACACACACACACACACTACTGCATGTAACTTTCGTTACTTTATTTCATGTTTATTACGATGTTGTTGTTTATTTCTCAGGATGACGTCGATGACGGAGGCTGGGTTGTTCTTCCAGTGGTTGATAGCTGAACAACCCAACTCCACTGTGTGTGATCATGTTCCCACCAAGATCACTGTCAACGTCGCTCTCTCTCTCAGTAACCTCTGGGTAATTAACAATTTTCATGATAAATTAGACACATGTGTAACCCTTGGGTATCTTCATTAAGGAAACGTTTCGCCACACAGTGGCTTCATCAGTCCATACAAAGGAGAATCTTGAGGAACAGGAGTAGAATGAGGTAATCAGTCCCTCAACCTTGAGTCGATGTGGTCAGTCCATCAATCTTGAATATAATTCATTATATTCAAGATTGATGGACTGACAAAACTCAGGTGAAAGTTGTCAGTATATTTGGGCGTCAGTCAGTCACTGACGTAATGAACATGTCTCTTACTTTTCATCACTGTTTTTGACATTAACAAAAAATATTTATTGTGGTTACGAAAATAATATACATAAATATAGCATATTATATATATATATATATATATATATATATATATATATTATATATATATATATATATATATATATATATAAAAGACAAGCGACTGTGCGTGGAAATCTTTAGCTGAAGTACTTTCACACTTGTCAGTGCGTCATCAGGAGCTGTGCAATGTTGGAGAGACAGCAACAGGAGAAGTAGGGTAAGTTTTCAGAGAGTTGCAGTGTGGAGGCACCGGACAGTCTTAAACTGCCTGGGAAGACAAGCGGGGTGCCAACCCACACACCCCACGCTCCGTATGGGGAGGGGTGGGGGTAGGCCTCACAGTTTGCTGATAGCATGAGGAAAATACTAGAAGATAGTTAATAGCCAGCCCTAAGCTTCTAATCGACGAAATCAGGTAATGTGGGGTAAAAAGGTACAATATTGGATAATTACATACCTTCATTTACAACCTTCTAACTAATGAAATAGAGGGAAAAAAAATCCCTCATTTGTCAACGGTGTCACAGAACCTTCCGGAACATTCAGGAAATACTCGCAGTGTCAGTTAACATGCCTGTGTGATTTTTTCCTATTCAGGTTTCCTGTCTCAAAATAACTAGGCAAGTCTTAATTTGAATGCCATTCCTATCATTATTATCACCTATCACCGTTATTATCATTATAACATTACCAACAACCTGATTCATTAAACCACTAAACTAGCTGTAATCACATTGTTGCAACCATCTATGTGTACCTTGTACCACTGTACCTGGACGGGTTAGGCCTCAATAGTTACACCGACGACAGACCTAACATATTAAATATCAACATATTAAATACCGTCGGTCTGTCGCGAATGGTACCCCTCCCCTTCCCCTATATGGAGTGTGGGGTGTGAGGGGGACCGGTGTGTGGGTTGGCATCACTCTTGCCTTCCCCAGACAGTCTGAGACTGTTCGGTGGCTCCGCACTGCCACTCTCTGAAAACTTACCCTACTTCTCCTGTTGCTGTCTTTGCAACATTGCACAGCTCCTGATGACGCACTGAGAAGTGTGAAAGTACTTGAGCTAAAGATTTCCACTCACCGTCACATGTTTTGCATTATTAAGATCGCCTGTCTGCGATTGTTTTGCATATATATATATATATATATATATATATATATATATATATATATATATATATATTATATATATATATATATATATATATATATATATATATATATATTTTTTTTTTTTTTTTTTTTTTTTTTTTCAACAAGTCGGCCGTCTCCCACCGAGGCTTTTACAACACGCATGGCTTACGGAGGAAAGATTCTTATTCCACTTCCCCATGGATATAAAAGGAAAAGTAATAAGACCAAGAACTATTAAGATAAAATCAAAGAAAACTCAGATGAGTGTGTATAAATAAATGTGTACATGTATGTGTAGTGTGACCTAAGTGTAAGTAGAAGTAGCAAGACATGCCTGTAATCTTGCATATTTATGAGACAGACAAAAGACATCAGCAATCCTACCATCATGTAAAACAATTACAGGCTTTCGTTTTACACTCACTTGGCAGGACGGTAGTACCTCCCTGGGCGGATGCTGTCTACCAACCTACTACCTATATATATATATATATATATATATATATATATATATATATATATATATATATATATATATATATATATATATATATATATATATATACATATACACTACACAGTGGTCAGGCCCAGACTGACGCAGCAACACAGTGATCAGGCCACCATAAATAAGAGAAAACCTAAGCACGTGGACCGTAACTAGTTTAATCAAGAATTAGACATATGTGTCACATTTAGCTGCCTTTGTAGACGTTTCGCCCTCCGGTGGTTTTATCAATACAAATTCAGTCACATGAGAAGGAAACTGTGGAACTATATATCATTCAAGTACAACTATGTAAACAGTGGAACCACCGATGTGTAATCATGAAGTTAAGTTTTAGACTCATATTCAGACTCTCCAAAATTTTCAATTATGTCCCGTGATCTACGTATTATTTTAAAGTGATTGGTGACTAAAAAAAATTACCTTCGGTTTTGGAATCTTTCAGTTGAGAAAGAATGTTTAGAAGAATAAAAGAGTCACTACACCGTGACTGGAGCAATACAAGAATATCCCGTCACTATAATGGTTCAAGTCGGACCGAGACGTAGTTATAAGTTTCTTTCACATATGTACGGGTTATTTGTGTAAATAAAGTTTAGGTAATGTAGTGATGGCAAAAGGCTCGTGAAAGCAACGAGGGATTTCCGGGTAGTTGTGTGTTGCAGCGACTCTGTGTTGCATCCTGCATGTGCACTCCAGCTCTGAGGAGCTGGACGAGTTTTTTATAATTAAATTTTTTTCACAAATACGTAGCAGTATGTACTTATAATGTATTACTCAAACCTCATGTATTCTATATGCCATCTTTGTACCATCAATGTATCTTTTAAGTTTTGTGTACCATATTGCGTAATAAAATATGTCTATTCGCGTAATTTAAAGATGTTATCGTAATTGTTTTTGTGTATTTCAGGGAATGTTTGTTATCCTCCTGGTGGGTCATCTTACCAGTCTGTCTGTGTTCTCCCTCGAGCTTCTCATTCATCTTATTCAACACATTTAGATGTTCATTCCATATATAAAAAAATATGTAATTTAAAAATTAACATGGTCACTAACAAGGAAACTAATTATTGCATTAAATTACTGCTATGATTATGTTCAAATATTTTATCTGCGGTTTGTCTTTTCTTATTATTGTGCAACATTTGCAACATTCCCCTTTTTATATGTCAAAATCATTCATGTGTTATTTCTACTGTGCACTTTTCTTTTTATTATATATCTGGTACAATACTCGTATTGAGATTCGCTTCAAACTTGCCTCCGCTGTCTTGTCTTACCTTTAAAATCAAGAACATATAAATTTTACGTTAATGTAAAATTATATATTTTATGAAAGAGAAGGAATATGGGATATATATATATATATATATATATATATATATATATATTTTATATATATATATATATATATATATATATATATATATATATATATATATATATATATATATTTTATATATGCAAAACAACCACTCTGAAAGAATAGAGAAATTCCAAGCGCTTTCGTGACTACTCACATTATCAAGTTCCTTGATAATGTGAGTAGTCACGAAAGCGCTTGGAATTTCTCTATTCTTTCAGAGTGGTTGTTTTGCATATTCTGAAATCACCTGTTTACTGTGATCTTATTGCATATATATATATATATATATATATATATATATATATATCCCCATATTCCTTCTCTTTCATAAAATATAAATTTTATATATATATATATATATATATATATATATATATATATATATATATATATATATATATATATATATATATCGGGCCTACATCAGGGACCTACCAGAAGACAAGGCCATAGTCACACTTGATTTTAGAAATGCCTTTAATATGGTGAAGAGAGATGCTGTCTTGCCAGCTGTTCGGGATCGGTTCCCCAGTCTTTTTCCCTTCATTTCAGCCGGCTACAGCAAACCCTCAATTCTTTTGTTTGGAGAACATGAAATTCAATCATCAGAGGGTGTTCAGCAGGGTGACCCACTCGCTCCACTTCTCTTCTGCTTGGCAGTAAGAGTACTAGCTTCCAGCCTACGCAGTGAGCTCAATATCTGGTACCTGGATGACGGCACTCTGGCAGGTACTGAAGAGTCCCTCGTGGGGGACCTACAACTGGTGAAAACAGAGGGAGAAGACTTGGGACTCATCCTCAATCCCTCCAAGTGTGAAATCATCACAGCGAACCAGGGAATAATCAATACTGTGCTAAGAATCCTCCCGGAAGTCTCAAATACCACTCCGTCCAACAGTACCCTCTTGGGAGCACCGCTGGGTCACCAGGCCATCGACACTGTCCTCAGGGACAAATTGAATGACCTGATGAGAATGGAGGAGAAAATAAGCGATCTTGATGCCCATGATGCTCTGTCCCTCCTCACAAAGTGTCTTACTATGCCAAGACTCACTTACTTCCTGATGTGTGCACCCTCTTTTGACATCCCAACACTCGATGAATATGACGCACACCTGAGATCAACTTTTAAGAAGGCACTGAACCTGTCACTAGAGGATCAACAATGGGATCAGGCAACCCTCCCAGTGCGACTGGGAGGTATAGCAAAGCAACGCATGTTGCTTTACCTGCTTTTCTGTCTTCGTGTTTGGCTTCCAGTGCATTAGTCAAGAAGATAGTTCCCGATCGCTTGAGAGACGTGGTAGGAGCTCAAGACCCCAGGTTTACTGAAGCAGCGATTAGGTGGGACACCCTTACAGACTCCTCCAGTAGACCACCTCCTCCCAAAGAGCACAAACAGTCCCACTGGGACAAACCGATCATGGAAAAAATCGCCAACACAATGCTCTCTAATGCTTTAGGAAAGGACAAAGCTTGTCTCCTGGCAGTGAAGGCCCCACACTCAGGAGATTTCCTGTTAGCTGTTCCCAATTCCTCCCTGGGCACCCGTCTCGACCCACAGGCCATTTGGATTGGTGTTGATCTTCGCCTAACCGCCCCCATCCTCACCGAATATATGTGTATTTGCTGCAGGGCGACAGCTGATCAATTCGGACTTCATGTTCTCATGTGTCACAGCAGAAGGGAAGTATGCCAGACATGAGGAGGTCATTGACATCATAAAGATAAGCCTCGCCACAGCCCGTTGCCCAGCTCAACGGGAACCCCAAGTACAGAGGTCTGATGGAAGTCAAAAGCGTCCTGATGGAGCCACTATGCTACCCTGGAAGGATGGAAAGCAGAATGCCTGGGACTACACCTGTGCCGCCACATTGCCCGACACCTACTTGCCATACTCCGTAGTGGAAGGGGGTGGAGCTGCCAGCCACAGGGAGACCCAGAAGATCCGAAAATATGAAGACCTTCCCTCTTGCTATAACTTTATTCCAATAGGGTCGGAGACCCCTGGAGCATGGGGCAAGTGTGCTCTAAAGTTCCTCAAAGAGCTGGATGAAAAGCTCATCATAGAAACCAAGGACCACAGGGCGACCAGCTTCCTCTTTCAGAGACTCAGTGTTGCAATCCAGAGAGGAAATGCCTGCAGCATTCTGGGCACGCGGCCCACCGCAGGGGAGCTGGACGAAGTATTCGAGATGTAGCTCTGAGTTACCTATGTTGTTTTACTTTCTGTTGTATTTTTGTGAATGTTTGGCCTATATATGTATATATATGTATATATATATATATACTTTTTTTATTAACACACTGGCCGATTCCCACCAAGGCAGGGTGGCCTGAAAAAGAAAAACTTTCACTATCATTCACTCCATCACTGTCTTGCCAGAAGGGTGCTTTACACTACAGTTTTTAAAATGCAACATTAACACCCGTCCTTCAGAGTGGAGGCACTGTACTTCCAATCTCCAGGACTCGAATCTGGCCTGCCGGTTTCCCTGAATCCCTTCATAAATGTTACTTTGCTCACACTCCAACAGCACGTCAAGTATTAAAAACCATTTGTCTCCATTCACTTCTATCAAACACGCTCACGCATACCCGCTGGAAGTCCAAGCCCCTCACACACAAAACCTCCTTTACCCCCTCCCTCCAACCTTTCCTAGGCCGACCCCTACCCCGCCTTCCTTCCACTACAGACTGATACACTTTTAAAGTCATTCTGTTTCGCTCCATTCTCTCTACATGTCCGAACCGCCTCAACAAACCCTACCTCAGCCCTCTGGACAACAGTTTTGGCAATCCCGCACCTCCTCCTAACTTCCAAACTACGAATTATCTGCATTATATTCACACCACACATTGCCCTCAGACATGACATCTCCACTGCCTCCAGCCTTCTCCTCGCTGCAACATTCATCACCCATGCTTCACACCCATATAAGAGTGTTGGTAAAACAATACTCTCATACATTCCCCTCTTTGCCTCCAAGGACAAAGTTCTTTGTCTCCACAGACTCCTAAGTGCACCACTCACCCTTTTCCCCTCATCAATTCTATGATTCACCTCATCTTTCATAGACCCATCCGCTGACACGTCCACTCCCAAATATCTGAATACATTCACCTCCTACATACTCTCTCCCTCCAATCTGATATCCAATCTTTCATCACCTAATCTTTTTGTTATCCTCATAACCTTACTCTTTCCTGTATTCACTTTTAATTTTCTTCTTTTGCATACCCTACCAAATTCATCCAACAACCTCTGCAACTTCTCTTCAGAATCTCCCATGAGCCGGGAGCAAGGGACTAGTAACCTCTTCTCCTGTATAAATTACTAAATTTGAAAAGAGAAACTTTCGTTTTTCTTTTTGGGCCACCCTGCCTTGGTGGGATACGGCCGGTTTGTTAATATATATATATATATATATATATTATATATATATATATATATATATAATATATATATATATATATATATATATATATATATATATGTCGTGCCGAATATGTAAAACTGGTCAATTAGCAAGAACTCATTTAAAATTAAGTCCTTTCTGAAATTTTCTTTTATACGTTTAAAGATATATTTTTTTCATTAATGTTAATGTAAAAATTTTTAATTTTGCACGAAAAGAATCTTTGAAAACTTACCTAACCTTATTATAACAAGAGCAATTTATTTTAGCCTAACCCAACTAAATATATTTTAGATTTGTTTACAGTAATTTAATACTGGATGTGTATCGTTCACCAGGATGTTTGTCAGTCCACTACAGAGTATAGAAAATCATGAGCAGTTAAATGAGAATAGAGAAGTGGAGTGTAAGAGAAAGTACACTAAGCATAATCGATGTCATATGACGGCGGTATCGTGGCGGTCCAAGATCAATTTGGCTAAAATTTTATAGATGTTAAAACTTGCAGAGTTCTGCTCAGTTATATTGTTAAGTCTGATAACTGATGATTCTAAACAATGACGCTTGTACAGATACGCCGATCAAGTGGCAGCTGCTCTCAGTATAACATAATCATTGTTAATGTTATGAGTATGACAGGGACATCTGGGTTCATTTACACGTGTGTCTAAATCTCATGTTGTGTTTCCCACCTAAACTTTATCGCAGCTTCCACATGGTCTTGCTAGCCTTGGTATGGATAAGGCTTTTTGGTTTAAAACTGGCGAGATTCTTGATTGTGATACTGGTGGTATGAGGCTCTCGGGGCCAAAATTAGAAAAACGTTTGAGATATGCGCGCCACTTTCTATATCGCCACTTTGTATATCGCTTATAGTCGCTGATGAAGTGGGATGGGATCTACAACTTAGCAAAGACTTGATGGGACACATTACCACTCTTCTCAAGTTATTCAGCGCTGAAGATCCGGTAAGAATTAAAAAATATCCTATGACCACTCCTCGTTATATTTTTTGTTGTGACAGTTTATCACGATACCTAGATTAAAGACATTTAGAAAGGGAAGACTATCACTACATTTCTCTTCTAGTGTGAATTTTACTGAGGGTACGATTGAGTTCAGCCTGTGCTAGAGAAGATCTACAAAATTTGGACAATTTTGTACTTGAGAGAAAAAAAGGTATTTCACTTTAAGGCTTTTAAAAATGTTGAAAGC